AGATTTTGGTTTTCGTGAATTTGTGGGTTGAGAACGTGCCTTTAACTGTCATTTGTAAGATTTTCTGTCTATTGATACATTGATTTCGTTGTGTTAATTTTATCACTTTATTTAGCTGCACAAGCTGAATTTAAGTCCAACAGAACTGCGGTAGATTGGGCCTCATTCTGTCGAGAAGTGATCTATGACGCAATGATGATAAATAAACAACAACTTGGTGGTCATGAAGTGTTGGTGGAAATAGATGAGTCGAAGTTCGGACGTCGAAAATATTATCGAGGGCATCGAGTAGAAGGTCAATGGGTTTTCGGAATGTTTGAGCGAGGAACAGGACGTGTGCTGATGATACCTGTTGAGAGGAGGTTTGTTATTCTGAAACAACATATTACTTGGTTAATAGAAAGATACCTAATTATTAATATTTTAGAGACAGAGAATTACTGCTTCCTATCATCAAAGAATGGATTATGCCTGGCACAACAGTCATCTCCGATTGTTGAAAGCCATATGATGTCTTGGGCAGTGAGGGTTATGAACATCTTCGAGTGAACCATTCCATCACATTCAAGGATCCCGACACAGGTGCCTGCACCAACTCTATTGAAAGTTCCTGGAGACATGCAAAGGTCATCATGCCTCAATACCATCGCAAGAAAGAGTTCTTCCCATCTCATTTAGCAAAATACATGTTCATGAAGCAGTGTCGTGCACAACATCTTGATCCGACCGTGGAGTTCTTTCGATTGGCTGGAAAACTCTACAATCCACTGAAAAAGGAAGAAGACCAACAGCAACTCAACGATGTTGATATCGAGAATGAGGAAGCGGAGGATAATGATTTTAATTGATTCACATTTTTAACTTTTCATTTATTTTAATAAAAAGGTTACTTGCTGATGTCTTAAATTACATATATTGACTTGACCGCCCAGTTTTCTCTTCTGTTCTATCGTTTTCAGCACCTAAGAATCCCTTAGAAAGCATAAAATTCCAAAAAATCAGAGGTGGCCAGTAATGTAAACTTGTTCCAATAATTTAGATAAAGATCAATATCAATGTACATTGACTGAATGTCAACCAGGTGATGATTATAAAGTACAATTAGTTGTACAAACTTGTGTTCAAAATGAATATAAGGATGATATAGTAAAGAAAACAAATAGATTAATTATTTTTTTTTTGTAATTCTTGATTTCGTTTTTTCTGTATATAGTTTCTTAATGATAATGAAAATGATGAAGAACTAGATGAAACACCATCAAAAAAATTACGTGTTCGAATGTTAAACAATCAAGGTAAAATCGGGGGAAAAAAAAAGAAATAATTTTTTTCGATTTTCATTATTTAGATCTTCTTCGATCATTTCAAGCTAATTTTGAATTTCATCATAATGTAACAAAAGAAAATACAATTCAACAAAGAAATGAAGTTAAACCATTAGGAAAAATCAATGTTCATTGGACAATATCGAATATGGAAGATATTTCACATTTTATTTTACAATGGCATTCATCAAAAGATTTACGTATTCAACAAAGAATTCTTAATAATGATGAAACATCATTTACAATAGGTTAGTATTTATTTCACAATTTATATTCTTTAAAAAATAAAAAAAAACGAAATTTATTAATATAGATGCGCGTGATGAAAAACATTTTTATATAATTGAAATAATTATTGTTACACATGATGGTATAAAATATCAATATGAACAATTAAAAATGCCTATACCAGGTGAACCAGATGCACCAAAATTATGGCTTGTTAAAACATCTGATTCAAGTTTCGTTATTGAATGGTCAGAACCAAAATCATATGGCATACCTGTCATTGGTTTTCAATTATATATCGAAGGAAAACAAGCAAGTGATACGATTGCCGTTAATTTACATCGAGCTGAAATTCCTTCACATATTAATCGAACATATCAAATTAGTGTATGTGCTATTACAAATAATCCTCAACGTTCACGTTCAGCTATGTCACAAACATTATCAGTTCTAACAACACCAGCAACAAATCCTATTCCACCAACGTACTATAATAATAATGACAGTGGTTCAAGATTATTTGATCGTAATACAGTACGTACGATACCTGTTCAAGTTGAATCAATTAATGAAGAGAAACTACATATTGATTGGACATCATTTTTACCTATGACAGAAATACGTGCTTATTATATTCATTATATTTGCTTGAATAATGGTGAAATACAAAATATGCAAGTATCGAAACGACATCAAAATGCAGTAAGAAGAAAACAGCAGAGACAATGAAAATTTTCTTTTTGATTTTATTTTCAAAGATTTTACGTGATTTAACACCAGGTTTTACCTATGAAATAACGGTTGTCGCTGTTGATAAAGATGGTGAAATAGTATATACATCAGATAAAAATATTATTCAAATGAGTGCTCCGCCTAATGCTCCGATTGTTGCAATTCGGTAAGATATTTTTTCTTTTTAAACTATGGTTATTCGGAAGTAACGGAATCTATAAGAAACGAATTCGCTTGCTTTCTATCCCACGGACAAACTGTCTCACATATCTAGAAAGTGGGGAAGACAGGTAATCTTCAGTATTAGAATTTATAGTTTGTGATCAATCAAGGAATACATGATGCTTAACATTTCCGAAAGAGCTAAAACAGCTCTAACCTGATCTCTAGATGTTATAGGATCATCGAATATATCTCCAATCTGTTGAATATATGATAGTGTTGTCTTCTTGCCAAGAAAAAGTAGATCCATTATGAGTTAGTCACTAATGACTGTGTGATTATGATGATTACCTTGTACTTCGAAAGTAGTGTGTTTAAATCTTAACATCATCAGATTATAGCCTAATCCTGAGCACATGATGTTAGGTAGAATCTTAGGTAGGAGTGTTTTCGTTTCCATAAGTTTTCGAGCATCCGAGAATGTTCATGCATACCTATTCGTACACTGTGTAGTAAGTCATTACGTGCTCCTAGGAATGGAAACTCCCCCCTGGTGACAGGTTCCTATGAACGGAACCCGAAATCGACACTCCTATTCCAGAACGATTCTGACAGATTTCTGCCAATTCCAGGAATTGGAATTGGTGTATTCCTACATTGGATTACAATGAGCGGAAACGCACACGTTGCTTTAAGTTACTAGAAGCACGAATTCACAGGAGGTTCTGTATTCCTGGAAATGAGAAACTCGAAACTGACACTTCTAATCTGGGATAGTGTACCTCATAGACTTCTTACTACATTAGAGTACATATTTCCTGCCTTATATTTAATCGTATGACATTTTCCTGAACCAACTAGCAGCTGTAGTTAGCCAGTGTAGAGAAAGATGTAGTAGTTAAGAAGAGTTACATGAATTTCGACCCACAGAATTTTTAGCCCAAACTTTCATATCCGTGCGAAATTCTGATGGTTTTTCGGGCCAGGCCAGAATTCCTTGAGGGCTTTCAGTCCGTCCTTAAACTGACCTTGTTGACCCCTACAAAAAAACTTTTTTAGTTAGTTGGTGAATATCGTAGTGCTGAGCAGAATGCTATAACTATAGTATCATCTAAATTCATTCTGTAGAGTACTACACCATCTCGCTCAGTACTTAAGGACGGATCGAAAGTCTGGGCAGAAAATTCTGTGGACCGAAATTTTAATCTTCCGTTATAAAAGGATGTTGCATCAAATGAGCAATGTCTCCTTGGATCTATTGTTAAGCAATTGATAAGGAAATAAATACGTATCGAAACTGTTTTTGCAGCATTCGTCAGCAGTAAGAAATAGATAAAAGGGTGAATCCTCTTTGTTTTCCATCTTGTTTGACTAAAACTTTTTTAAAAAATATTTTATTTAGTGAACGTACACATGATCATGTAACACTTGAATGGCGTCCAGCACCAAGTTATGGTGAACTTGCTGTCGTCGGCTATAAAATGTATATAGATAATCGTTTAGTAGCTATTCTTTCCCATGATCAATTAACATATACATTAACCAATGGTTCACCATGTGAAGAATATATAGTTCATGTTCAAGCATTAAGTAATGATAAAAATATCTCGAGTCCAATGTCTCGTGGTGTTAAGTTTACTTGGCCAGGTATTAAACCAGGTACATTTCGACGTTTAGATGATGGATTAACAGGAACAGTTGTTGTTGCTTGGGATCATCCACAATTAGAAGATGAAACAGAAAAATTAATCAGATTTAAAGTATAAATAATACTATTAAAAAAATCGATGAAAATTTTTCAGAAAAAAAAACAAGTAATTAATTATATTTTTTGTTTTATGATAGATTCTTTCAGAAAATGTGGCAACACATGCTGTTCGTTTACATGGTGAATATAATGCTGATACACATCAAGCAACAATATATGATTTAATTAATGGAAAATATCATCTTTGGCTTGAAATTCAAAGTGAACATTATTGTGTTCGTGCTCGACCAATTACAATTGGATTTGCTCGATTTCGAAATCGTCAATTATATGATTCAGCTAAATGTTTTATGAAAAAACGAAAACGGTAATTCAAAATTTATATTTTCTCCTTATAGTTTTTTTTTATTTTTGTTTTAAAAGATTTCGTTCAGTAGGAACTATGACAATGACACCAACACTTCGACAAATTCAATATTCATGAATTTACTTATATCATAAAACTTTATTATAATTTCATTATTTTTCTAGCATTATAATCTAGAAAATAAATATATGTATTTTCTTAATCTATTTTTTATTATCGGTGCATGATTGCAATCGTTATTTTATGTTAACGAGAAAAACAAAAAGAATATAAACAAAATATGAGAAAGCTTGAAAATCTGATTCTGAGACAAAAATATATAAGTGAGGAGTTGTTGATAAATGACTAAAAATATTTACTGTCATGGTTTTCGTTCGATTTAGCTCAGAGGGGGGGAGGGGGGAAATTCCAGGGAGAAAGTCCTTCGAAGCGAAAGAAAAACGTTTTTTACATTTGTTTTTTGCAGTAAAATTTACTGTTAGATGAAACATCCAATGATCTTGCTATCCAGTTGATCGATATTTTCTTCGTTATTATTATCTAAATCATCATCATCAGTAACATCCGGTTTTAATATGCTAAATTTCACAGCCGTTTCTAACACTGTATATGAGAGATTATTTCGTAGTTTGATTTTAATTCGTTTCAGTGCACTGAAACTTCGTTTGCATTCATTAGATCCAATAGGTAAAGTTGTTAAAATTTGATATAATTTAAACCATTCAGGAACCAAATAATTATCATTCACTGATAAGAACTTCATTATATCTAACAAATAAACCTCATCATTAATTTTTTTCTTTTCTTGCATTCGTTTAATATCATTATTTGCACCTTTCAATAAAACACGTACTTGTGGTACTTCTTTTTCTAAAATTTCGAAAGCATAATAATGGTTCATCTGTTCGTTCATATGTTTTGTGATCAATTCCTTTTATGTTTATAACAGAGATGAGCACCGGACAACTTTTTCTGTTCTGTCCTGCAGTCAACCTCATCCTGCTGAGCGGCAGGACACTAAGCAAGACAAACACGACATCTTTAATTTTCGATTAAATGAAGCATATACTAAATGTTTCAGCCATCTTATACCCAATCTATTTTATTATTTCTTCAAGCATCACAATATCACTCTTGAAGAAAACTTAACTCTATAAATACAAACAAATAAACATAATAAATTATTTTCCAATAACACACATACCATAGAAAAAAATACACATAGAACAAAATACAAAAGTATGATATTACATCATCAATATTATTTTCACCCAGTGAATAATATGCTGTTGGCACAAAAGTTCTGTACGTTGTTTTTCTGTTTAGACGAATTTTAGGCTTTATAGGGTGTGGGTGTGAGTGTTGGTGGGGTGTGGATGTGGAGAGATTTGGGTGTCAGTGCGTGGGTGGATGGGTGTGGATGTGTGAAGAGAAGATTCACATTCACCCATACCTACACCCACACCCCACCCACACTCACACACCACCACATCCATACCCACATCCACACCTACACCCTTGTTAGATCAAAGAAAAGAACGAAAGTACACGAAGAAAGCAAAAGAACACACGAGGAAAAATATCTAACAGAACGAAAGAAAAGACAGATACTATAAATCATATATGTATGGAACAAAAGAAAGAGAACGAATATATATATGGATAATACATATAATATTTTTTTTAATGGCACATCTAATATATGTGCCATAACAATATTTTACATTGCGAGATTTTATACTTCGATTTTCTGCATTTCGGGATGTTGCTCATTCGAGCTTTTTTAGTTGAGATTTTGCATTTCGAGATTTGTTTTTTTCTAAAATTTTGCTTTTCGATATCTTACACTTGGAGATTTTGCTCTTCGGTCTTTTTCCTTTCTGGCAATTAGCACGTTCCAGAACACAAATGACTAAGAATAATATTCATAATTGATAAACAGACAAAGGCATATGATAGAACGAAAGAATTCGATAGATTAAATTACTATCTATGTATACAAAATGAGATTACAATGCGGAGGAACGAATAATGAACTTTAAATATGTATTTATTTGTTATTCTAAACGTTTTCATGCTAACTGATATTTGTTTGTTTTTTTTTCCAAGATAAAATCATTTTTATATTTATTTCAGATAAATACAAATAAAGATAAAATGTTGTCTTTGTTTCAAATCAATTCAGCAGATACTATTAGTGATATCTGCTATGAAAAAAAAATAAAAGATTGTATTTTTGGCTTTGTAAAAAATGTTTTTTATTTTTCTTTTTCTTTTAGATATTTGATATTATGTAATTTCAATAGTTATATCCATGTATATGCAACAAATACTGATAAAGTTCAAAACTTTCGTTGTTCAACTAAATGTTATTGTATTGTTGCACATGCGAGTTTTTTTAAAATATTTTCTCCTATGTAAATTTATTTTTCTAATTATTAAGATACTCAATTATTCATTGAAACAGATAACAATCAGCTTTAAGCTCGTTCATTTGATGGTGATGCTATTAAAAGTCTTCTTAATGGCACTTAACCAGTATCTGAACTTTGTTTAAACGAATCTTGTCTATTTATCGGCACCATGTATGATAGTTCATTCTAAATTTAATTTAATTTCATTAATTATTTATGTTTTCTTTTTTTTCAGTGATTGTAAAGCGATGATGTTCAATTTGAATGATGATTCAAATCAAATTATTAATTTCAATGGACATAATGGACCTATTCTTTGTTTAAACGTTCATTATGAAAATAAAATGACTGGTGAGAAAATGAATTCTTACATTTTATTTGAAAAAAACATTGAATAATTTTAGGCAACATCATCATGTGATGGTTTTGTGAGAATTTATGATATTGATCAAAAATTCTTAATCAAAAAATTGAATCTTATCGACAAGACAAATCATATCAAGTAAGTTTAATATAAATGAGTGATTCCAGTGTGTATTGTACCGTTTGACCTTCACAAATGGTCCTCTTTGTTTCTCAGTTCGTGCTTGGCCGAATTGCTTGATTTTAATATAAAAGAAACAAGAAAAAAATAATAAAGAAAAGAGAGGAAACAAACAAAAAATAGATTAAGACGAGAATGCATATAGAAGACAATATGGACTCATATTATCGTTACATATCACAGTTGAATAAGTCTAATAGAAATTTTATTATTATAATATTGGATGAATAAGGATCAAATAGTATAGAAATGTAGAGCTTTGTTTTTACTATTAGTCTATGTAAAAAGAAAATTTCGTTAAGGCGTCTATACGAAATTGAGATAGGACCGCCACTACTTTTGGTATGCCCTAGGTATATGCCTTTTTTCCAAAAGGGCCAGGTTTTGATAAAGTATACGAAAGAATATTGGAGCTTTACTATTATGTTTTTCCAGACATGGCTTTTCTATCTTAATACATTGTATTAAAAAAATAAAATATACTACAAGATGCAGCCTGAAAAGCTCTACAATTTATAAAGAATAGTTGTTTTTATATACGCACCTTTTGTTTTCAAAATGGGCAAAATTCTGAAAATATGTTATTTTGACATTGTTTTCGAATTTCAATAAAAAAGTCCATTTCTAAATTTGTTTATCGTTTTTCTCAGAACATGGTTTCCAGGCAGGAAAATTGAAATAACTCCCTCCCGACTCAGGCTATATTCAATTTTTTTTTGTTTTAAACGTCTCAATGAGAGTAAACTTTTATCTGAACGAATTTTTCTATAGTT